TTTTATAACATTTTTAGCTTTCAGAATAAATTTTACCAACTGCTTTTCTACAAATACCTTGGGGAGTGGGAGTAATTTCCACAAGTATTCATTCAAAATTCTATTTCATTCAATAACATCAAAGTTTAAATGTGTATAGATATATTTATTTAAAGCATGTTTTACTTGCATTTAAATATCTACTTTACCTCAGTTTGATTGATATAGTTAATTAATTAATGCCAAAGATATTCCTGGATTTATTTGTTAACAAAAAAAAAGTAACATTTACTGGAATAGTATTTAAGTTATAAAAACTATTACACGATGCTCTGATTTTCTAAAAATCCGCACTTACACAAAAAGTCTGCAAATCATTCATGACCATGTTCTTGGGGGAAAAAAATATGTTAGCTTAAGTACCCACAGGTACTGTTCCATTCATAAATAATAATAAAAAGCATTTTACAATGAAAAAAATTCCACAAATTAATTTTTACAGCTGATGGATACTGTAGCCAAATGACTGATATAAAGCATGTAAATTCAAGTGTACTTAATCACCTACATGGTACGTACATGTATGGGTTATAAACCGTCGCATGTATATTTTAAAAAAAGGCCAAAAGCAGGCAATTCTAACGAAGGTTTAAACTGGGACACTTATAGTAAGAAAATACCAAAGTAATAAACAATCACATCAGGAAAACATTTTAATCATGAATATCCAAGGTGAATTAACATTCCATATACTAACAATTAATTCAATTTATAATTCAGCTGCAGCTCACAGTGCACTTATTTTGATATTAATTTGGACCAGGACCACAGGAAAGAAAAATTAAAAGACAACTTAAGTTAAAAATATTAGGAAAGCATACAGTAATGTTCCTATACGACTTGCTACATATAAAAACTTGTTTTTTACTTAGACCTCTTTTTAACAACTAATGTCTCTATATATGAAAAAATATTTTTGTTTTGAATAAAATGAATCTACACAAATAATATAAACACAATAATGCATGCAGGCTGAATGCAGTCTGGAAGCTGCTAACAATTTTTTTTTTAAGTTAATTTAAATATATGTGTGTTTGTGACTGCATATAAATGTATATTACACAGTATATACCACTATGTATGGTTTCACTCCCTTATAACCTGATTTTATGCATCATGCATGTATATTGTGTGTTACGTCTGAATTTATAACATGTTTGGAAATTAGACATTTAAAATTCATTTTTCACTTGAATATGGTTTAACTGAAAATTTATTTCAATAACAACGAACTATATTTTCCACTATGTTTTCTCTATACTTTTTACTTCTCGAACTTACAATTTTCAGCTGCCTTATTCCTTATAGATATTCACCAAAACATTATAAAAAATACTTATGCAATGAAAAAAATTCAAATTTACATTTATTTTCCATTCGAAATCTAAATTTTGGTACCCACAAGAAATTTTCCTTGGTTACAATTTGCAATCAAAACAATTAATTCTACTATAGCTGATGAGTATGAGGTTAAGTTAATTAAATTTGCATCTTTAAGTCCTTAAGATAGATTGCTATCAAACTGGTAAATTAATTATAGTTTTTTACATTTGCTTTAATGACAATAATAATAATTTATAATTGGACAACAAAAATCAATACATTATTCATTGAATTCATGTCATAATAACAGTTTTTTTTTTTTTTTTTTTTTTTCCATCTGTTTGAGATTTTTCATTTGACATAATAAAGATGGATTTCTAGATGTAGGGAATGTTAATGCATTTTCAGTTATTGCAATTTAACTTTGAAAGGTTTAATATGAGCACACATATGAATAAGTTTATTCTTTCTTGCCAGCTCTTTATTCAGAATATTTGAATGTTCAACTAAGTTAACAAGAAATGCTAAACATGCTCCATGTATCATTATATAGATCGTCAATGATTTCAGTTGCATATCATGAAAATTTTATTTCCTTTATTAAATGAAAAAACTGTTTTAATACAGCTAAGCAATGCAACAAACTCGATGATTCAGAGCTTATCTGCAGATGAAGTTTACTGTTTTAGTTATCGTTTCAATAATCTTACCCATTTGCAACCTTTGGCACATATGTACAACAAATACATAATTAAAATATATTCACAGGCTGCATTAAATTGCTTCAGGGGATGCATGCAGCTCGGGCTTCTAGGACACTAGTTTAAGACGACTGAACTATAACCAGTGTCTGAAGAAAGAAAAAGCTTCCATCTACTTATCATTTCCATGACAAAGTAGAAAATATATTAAGATGCTTGTCACTTTTAATAATTTTACATAAAGAGAAACAAAAATTTTTAAAGTTACATTTTTCAGAGGTTTTTCTCAGAAACATTATTCTTTGCAAAGGCTAAAAATTCATCACGGAACTTGAGTCGAATACTGAATGCAAGACAAATCCAAATACACAAACCTCTTTACTGTGCAAAATACACTATACCAGGGGTTCTCAATCGGTGGTATGCAAGCGAAAAATAGGTGGTACGCAAAGAAGCTAAGTATTTTTAACTATTAAATTCAAAAATTAAAACCCCAACATCCTGATAGAGTTTTTTTTCTCCAACACTCGTAAATTTGTGCAATTTGAGTTTTGTTCAAGAGTGATGGTGGTAGTAGTACTTGTAATGGTGGTACTAAAGGTTTTCAATTTTTGTTTAGATGGTACGCGTTAGTGAAAAGGTTGAGAACTGCTGTACTATACAAATGCTTTTACACTGCAGTCAGAAAAAGGTAATATTCCACAGGTAAAGAGAATATTTCAATTTGTTTTGTATATACTCTGGAAATTTAATACTTCAAATGGTTAACAGTTTTAACGGCAGAACTAAAAGTAAGCTGATTAAATTCAGAAATGATAATATTCATAGGTTTTTATGTTTTTGTTAGCCAAATTTCAATTTTATGTAATTGTAATGTGGAAAAGGCCTCAAAAAAGGTTACTTATTTAACATATAAAGGAATAATTTTTTTAAATATAAATTTGATACATAATGTTTTATTTTTACATAAATTTGGTACTATAACTAGATCTATTAAAAAAAAAGGGAATGCTGTATTTAAATTCATTTTAAAGTTGCTTTCTTGGCTTTAAAGGTATTTATTAACAGAAAAAATTTCAAATATAAATATAAATTTAGGGCCTTTGATAACTTATATCAATGGTCTACAACAGGGTTGGCCAAACTTCATGCCAGTAACAGCCACACGTTTGAATTCAGGAATGTTCGAGAGCCACATCTAGATTTTCTAAAAGCCACAAGTTCATATTTATGTCATTATAGAAGTACTGGAGGAGGTTTTAAATAGAAAGAAATTCCTGATAACTTTGTAAAAGAGTCTAAACTAATTAATTACTTCCTTTTGGACACTGAATAGTTTCAGTTTACCATATTTCATACATATATTTTGTATGCACGAGCCACACAAATTGCCTGCGAGAGCCGTACTTTGGCCACCCCTGGTCTTATAACTGAAAAGAGGGTTTATTAAGACTCATTAGAGGGTTAAAAAGAGGTCTTTTGCAAAATAAGCAGATATTTTAAGCCTTTAAAAACTAATTACAAAATTCTTGCCACAGAATGAGATAATATTTTTTAGCATATCTCTCTCATACCTCGTCTAATTTATTTGCCAAATGATCCCTGTTTACTTCTTGTAACTGCCATGAAATAAATGGTACATTAGCAATTACATTTTTTTGAAACTCTCATGATACTAATTATATTTCACGTTATTGCTTTAGAGCTATAAGTAAATCTGGAATATCAAACTTGCTGCTGTACTTTCAAAAATTAATTATTTAGCCTTCATCGAACTGATACTACATGCAATAACAAAATATAAATTATCAGACACAGGTATGATGAAACAAGCATGAATATGTGTTGTGAAATGCTCATGTATATTTGCAATAATCAATTTATTACTTTATTGATGAATTATGTTTCACATACCTAAAACTAATATGATACAATAAATTACACAAAGTATGGTGGATAAAAAATGAATTAATTACTCTACCAACATGTTTATCAAATGAAAGCATATAAAAATTTATTCGATTATACAAACATAAAGAAATATAATTATGTATAAAAGCTTTTTTTTTTTTTAATTTAAGCTTTTTTGAGTAAGGTACTATTTGATCGGTAGCATAACAATTATAAACGCATGCTTTAGTGAAACATTTCAAATTTGCTTTAAATCATGTCAAGGCTTATTTAAAATTTAATGTAAAAGATTAATTCTTCATGTAAAAGAAAATTAATGCAATAAAAGAAATCTCGTTCCAACGCTCAAATAGTAAACATTTTTCGTTTCATAAAAAATTATGCGTTACAAATAATCAGTTCATTTTTTTTTTATACGGAAAAATTATTATACATCAGACGCACAATTTCATACGAGTTCAAAGAAACAAACTAACAGCAAAATGGCATTTTTCCGGTATTTTAATAATAATGCAGTTTTAATATCAACCTATACTTGAAAATTCTACTATTTTAAATTTTATACACTGTTATGATGCAAACTACACTACCTGAAACACGATTTTATGCAACCCAAATAGTACCGCCAAAATTAATACCACATACAGCACGTACGTGTGTTATTTAATATATCCAACCCTCTACATTAGGCTTAACATCCTTTGTTGATTTAACTGATGCAGCAAAAATTATTACGCAAAGTCCTACATTCCTAATTTTCAAAACAATGTGCGAGCGAGGAGTGAAAAGCGGTCTAGGTGTAAACAGACACAAGGTAACAACAAAATCCAATATTGTGAGAAGCGATCACTTGCTATTGTCGTTCGATGCTATAAACCTCTCATGAGCTTCTGGTACCTAGAGTAATACAAATATGATGGCAACCCCGCAAAGAATATTTGATGGTAACGATTGTTTTAATTTATGTGAACACAATTACGATTACGATCTATAAATTTTTTATAAAGCAATATAAAATAAACTTACTTTTTGCAGGCCTCCTAATGCTGTTACTTGATTATAAAATTTCTGTAAGTCAATTTCCCGGCCATTGATCTTAGGTAGGTGACGGAAAGGTGTTCTGAAAGATTACGATCGATATGAAATTGAGATTCCGTACTTTAATCACAAATATAAATATATCTACACAATATATTTATACATCTATTGAGCTTACCCTCTGTTTTGATGGAAGAGTTTTAGCTCGTTAACAAACGCATAATAATCTTGCCTGCTAACATCCGGTTCCTTGTGCAATTTCTCCATCATTAAAACACTTAATAAAAGGATCAATTACATCCAATAGACGCACCATGAATACATCGTATAGACGGTGGTAATGCAGGTAAAGGAACCCATACGATCTGCCACAAATAGAGTATTATGAATTCGGCCACAACGAAAGATACAACTATCTCTCAACACTCTACTACACTCTCCTGCTACACTCTAAAACAGTCACTCGAACCGACACGCAAGCGACCGATCTTGCGCGAGAGTGAAACAATATTTGGCGCTTAAGCGCCTTGTTAACTTAAAGGACATCGTGTACCGCCAATAATTGATTCGCTGCTGTACGCCAAGTATAAATTGCGTTAGGCCCATGCGCGAAATAATCACATGCAGTACGTTAAGTAAAAACGATTAGATATATTATCACATTTTTCACTTTTCTTTTTATTCACTTTCTCTTATAAAAATCATGCTTGTATTCCTCCAGAAAAATCTGTAAAAAATGGAAATAAAAAACCGGATTCGCAAAGTAAATAAATAAGTTAATGACAGCGCACACGGCTACGAAACGCTCAAACAAAATTATTTTCTGATTTTTGATTTGTGTTTCGAGACAAAGTGGTGTAATGTAAAGCAAGAAATTTTTTTTTTCTTTTTCGGAAAAAAAAAAAACTATAGCTCAATGCATGTTTATTTAAAAAAAAAAAAAAAGAAGCCTATCAATGAGAATTTCTTAAAAGAAATATTTCGTGTTTTAAATCGTGTTAAATTCATACGCGAAATCGTCATATGCAGCATACTACAAAAAGTAAAAAGCCTTCAAATATATTATCAATAACATTTTCATTTGTCTCAAACATGCCAGAAGTAATCAGAAAAAAAGCAAAAGTCGTGGCTACATTTCACCATAAGAATCTACGAAAAGTAAAAATTAGAAGTGCGATTCAAAAGAATTTGCGGCGAAAGTAAATAAATAAATAAATAACAAAGCGCCCAGCTGGTGGGACGCTCAAACAAATTATTTCAGAAAATCCTTTAATCAAATAAAATAACTTCGATTCGAGACAAAATGGTGTAATGTAACGCAAGAATGATTTTTTTATTTTTTTTTATCATACTTCAACGTATGTCTATTTAGATAAAGGGCTATGAAAGAAAGTTTTTTTTAAAAGAAACATTTCGTGTTTTAAACTTGTTAAAGTTCATGGGTGAAATCATCATATGCAGCATATCACAATACGTAAATGCCTTCAGATATATTTATTATCCGTAACTTTTTATTCTCTCAAATACGCTAAAAATAATCAGAGATAAAACAAAAGTCTTGGCTATATTTTATTAAGAAAATCTGCAAAAAGTAAAAATTCAAAATGCGATTAAAAGAATCTGGCGCAAAAGTAAATAGATGAGTAAATAAAAAAGCACCTAGCTGCGGAATGCTCAGACAAAATTATTTCTGAAAATTCCTTAACCACGCAACATAAGGCAATGTAATGTAAGGTAAGAAACCTTCCTCAATCAAAAAAAGTGGGTTCAATTCGGAGCAAAAAAGAAATTTAATATACAAAAAAAAATTCTTAAACGAAAAAGTTTGATTCGAAGCCAAAAAAAAAAAAAAAAAAAAAAAAAAAAAAGGGGAGGTTAATATACCGTAAGAAACTTTTTTTAATTGAATCCTGGCAAGGCACCTGTCACTGGCATGAGCCTTGAGCACCATATAGATGACACTCCGACTTTAGTTCAATTCCACCGCCCAATTTTGAAAGACAACAACCCTGGAGAATAGGTTCAAGAGTCTTTAATCTCTCTTCCCCTACCAACCGACCTCACGAGAGGGCTTTCGGCTCGCGCATATTTAGAGTGTCCCTCTGCCGCACAGACACTATACATTTACAAACATCCATGCCTTCTCCAGGATTCAAACTCGGGGCCTTCCGGTACGGCAGTCAGAGGCACTAAGCACTATCCTGGTTGGGGGGGGGCAGGAAATGAGTTGCTTGTTTGTTTTGTTTTTATGAAAAACATGATGGCTGTTTAGAAATAATGTTAGTTATGACTGTTTAGAAGAGCTCTAACCAAAGGAAATTTTTCAAAAGAAACTTCCTATGTTTATATTTTCCATAAATTATCTTTCCTAGCGAAACTTTTTTTTTTTTTTTTTTTTTTTTTTTTTTTGTTAAACATTTTGCATCTGCCTTACTTTCATTTTGTTAGTCGCTGCGCTTGATTTTCAAGAAAGTTTTGAAGCCTCATTTTAAAGCAATTGTTTGAAATATCGTACTTTCAAGGAACAAAAACAATACCTAAATCCGAATGAATGAATAAATAAATAATTTTAAAAAATCTCAAATAATCAGATACCAAAAAATCTGATTATTTGAGCTAGCAAAAGTTAATCTCAGTGCTTCAAACATTAACCTCATTTTCTTGATTGCTTATTCGAATAGGGCAAAGTACACATAATATCCTTTATGCCAAAGAAACTTTCAACAAAATTTGTGGCCGAGTCTTACATTTCATGGACAGCATCCATTTCGACAATACTCCTCACTTCTCATTCCAGATTAAAAATACTAAAGAAATTCAATACACTTTTACTCTCTGAGTTATCCTGATTTATTTCAGTTACATATTTATAAATCTGAATACGTAGAAAAAGTACCTCTGATTTTCATTATAACTGGTGCACAAATCTCAAAATTTTATATATAAAATTGCAAACATCAATCCATATTTCTTTCAAAACTCTGGTATGATTACTGATATATGCCGCTTTAAAACGTAAACTACCTATTACATTGCCTAAAAATTAAGTTATGGAGTTAATCAAAAGAATATATGCCGAAAATGAGCTAAGAAATAATCTTTTAATAATAATAAAGAATACGTAAGAATAATCCATAATCTGAAACTTATAAATATTGAATTTAGGTATGCCCAAATTATAATAAAACTGAAAATTTATCCGATTTTTAATATGAAATATTTCACAGATGTCAGTCTTAAGAAAGGGGGCATATGTAAAGAACATTAATACACACTTTCTACTGCACACTTTGTCAACCAAGTCCAGTTTCTGACGAATCTAGAGATTCGACAATAATCTATAATCACTGATATTAATAAAACACCTAAATATCAGATTTCAAAAACAAGTTTTATGTTCAATTTGCTAACAACAAAAGAAGATCCTTTCGATTATTATAGCTTATGCACAAAATCTGATACCTCCTTTAATACACAAAAAGGAAATTAAATTCATTAAAATTATATCCTGCTGTATTTGATCTTAGTGTCAATATATCCTAGAGACCACCAACGGCCGAGTATAACCAGTGAACACTGGTACTTCGATACGGGTTCAAATCCCAAAGAATAGGCTGGCTGCATGAGAATTTCCGCATTTTCCCTCATGTGCAACGTGAATACAAGCCAGTTTCAATTAAAAAAATCCTCCACGGATGCGTCCCTTTCTCTTAGACAGATAGCCCTGGCGTGATTAACCGTAATCCAAATAATCAATTCCAACATATCTTCTTTATATTGCGTAGTAAAATAGCAGAGAGATTTATACGAATTTTAAAAAATAATTTCGATAAAAAAATATATATTAATATAATTTCCGTATGTTTGTATTTAAGTGCTTTAACTATATTTTAATTGTCGAATGTACTTTCACTACATTATTAGGGAAAACATGTAATTAAAATGTTATAGCGACACTAATGCCTCACTACATTTTAATTCCCCGTATTTGCACTAGCGGTCAGCGAAGTAAAATTTCTATCGCTATACATTCGAAGACCAAGACCTCATTACGATTCAGGCCTAGGCCTAGCGTCCCAGATTTAAGCGGGTCCTACAGTCATACTATAGTTTCTTGTAATACTATTTTTCTGTCATAAAAACGAAGAAATGAATGTAGGGAATTTTTGAAAAAAAAAAAAAAAAACTGGGCCTAGGACCTCGTACAATCTTATTTGTTAAATAAATATTGTTAAATAAAATTTTTAAACATAAATTACATATTACCTATACCCACTAAGGTCCTTAGAAATGATGCGGTCGGTTGATACAATATATTTATTAAAATTTATGAACATTTCCAAGCTACAAATATTTATATGAAATGTGAAAGCATCATAGGCTGCCTTAATAATAAATGCTTAAGGTGAAAAAATAGCTTATCATATTTTATATTTATTGCTGATCTGTCTGTTCGTAAATGCATTCGAATTTCACGTATATTACAATTATCTGCTTCCTACAAAAAACAACAAAAAAAAAAACTAATTAATGGAAAGCTATGAGAAAAAAGGTTCAGTCTTGTTTTCCTCTAAAGGTTACCATCTAAGAATTGCGCGGGAAAACCTGACTCGGTGACGCGCACTATTTAAAATATTCCTCTGCCTATCTCTGGAATGGTTGTATGGGCGGAACCAGAGAGCGCTGTTGGGGCGGCACCTCCCCCCCCTCCTTCCTTAGGCGACTCGCACACACGTGGTAACGCGGGCTTTATCTGAGAGTTTTTGTACATCGCGCCTCACATTCAGAAGCACATCGAGCTACGTTCCAGACGCTCGCCATGGATCGGTGTGATCGGCTGGCTTACGTATGAGAGAACTAGGTGATGCAATACCGGTCTCTCGCGGCTGCGGCGTGGAAATTCACGGGCAGTCTGAAATTTAGATTTAGGGGTGATCTGAATGAGATGAATTAAGTCGGGTTTGCGCAACTGTTATTCTGTTACGATTCTTTGAACAAACATCCGCATGGCATTGTACATGCATACTATTTAACGATAATTATAGATCTGCTGGTAGCTTACGGAAATTTTATAGAACTGTTCGTTAAATAATCCATAATAAGATTAAATATTTAAGTTACGTAGCTCATCATGGGTCAAAGCATACATTTTTAAATTTATTTAGTTTTTCCTCTACATAGTAAACAAAATACTAAAGCAGCCTACTCCAAAAAAGGATCTAGTAAGCAGACTCACGATGTGAGCGTAAAGATTTATGGTCAGAGGATTTACTTTTCAGCTCCTGACCACAGATTTTATTTCGCCTTGATGATGCTCCCAGATCATCTTCGAGAATCCATACATAATCCATCAAAAATCCTTCCATGCCCATCAAAAAGGAATAATTATTCATGTTCATTTACAGAATGCATTATACACAAAATTTTAGACACTTT